TGGTCGTAGTAGTAGTAGTAGTAGTAGTAGTAGTAGGAGTAGTAGGAGTAGTAGGAGTAGTAGGAGTAGTAGTAGCCGTAGTAGTAGGCGTAGTAGTAGTCGTAGTCGTAGTAGTAGTAGTAGTAGTAGTAGTAGTAGTAGTAGTAGTAGTAGTAGTAGCAGCAGCAGCAGCAGTAGTAGTAGTAGTAGTAGTAGTAGTAGTAGTAGTAGTCGCACCAGCAGCACTAGCAGCATTATAAGCAGCATTAGTTGCAATTGTAGTATTGTAGTTGTCGCAACGATCGCACTAGTAGCTGCATTCGTAAAGGGCCTCAGTAGCATGAGCAGCACTAGCAGTAGCAGTAAATGAAACAATACTTGTGGTCGGTAGGAGCACCAGCAGCAGTAAGTCCAACAGTAGTAACAACAGTACACGCCTTAATCGTATATTTTACGGTGGTGGTGGTGGAGGGAATGTTCTCCGTAGTGGCAGCGGGGGTCGCATTCGTAGTGGCGTTTGTGGGCGTAGCTGCAGCGGTGCCGCTGTCAGTGTCGATGCAAGCGGCGCTGATTCGCAACAGTTGTGTCGACTGGAACGGGATGCGGGCCGGCATAATCAGTAATGTTGCTGTTCCATCTTGTGGTGTCGCATTCTGGCGGGGATGGCCTTGTAACATGGAGTGTCCCACGCTTTGTTTTTACAGCCACCCACGCGCCGCCGGTTGGAAACAGGGCTGCCAGGCACGCGCGCGTCTCCACCCTGGCGTTAGCAGGGGGCCGATCTGTCTGCGCTGCAGGCCGCAGGTCTCTGCGTGTTCGGGCGCAGCGTCCGAGAGGGATCAGCATCGCTGCGTCTGAGTGCGTCTTCTTCCCATGGTGTTTTTTTAGATGAGAAATATGTTTCCCCGTTGTCCCCCCACGTTTTCACACACATCTGTCTTGCACTTCCTGCTGCTATTGTGACCGTTCCCCTTCGACGTAATCGGGCCCTCTGGCGCGCGTCGCGCCCCCATCCTGCCCTCCAACTATCATCCCTAATGGCCGCAGCTCTTGTTTAGTATGCTTCCGTCTCCCTTCGGGGCGGGGGGGTCGAACTAGAGGGAACAAAGCAGAAAACGCGGGACGCGCCCGTCAGAGGACACATTTTTGGGCATTACGGAGGCAGCCCGAAAACGGCCACCGATGCCGAAGGAGGAGCACGGGGAGGAGGAGGAGGAGGAGGAGGAGGAGGAGGAGGAGGAGGAAGAGGAGGAGGAGGAGGAGGAGGAAGAGGAGGAGGAGGAGGAGGAGGAGGAGGAGGAGGAGGAGGAGGAGGAGGATGGGGAGGAGGAGGGAGGAGGAGGACGACGACCTCCGCTTCCATCGTCCTCCCTCGCCTGGTCAAGGGGACTCGGCGCTTATCGGAGCACCGGGCGGCCTCGCACGAGCACCACGCGCGGCCCACGCCCGAGGACCGCCGTCGCAGCAGGGAGGGTCGCGGCCAGGGCCTCCGCGCCGAGCCGCCTCGCCGCGGCGCGGGCACGGCGTCTTCAGCAGAGGGGGGGCAGCTCTCCGCCGAAAGGGTCGCGAACAATGCTTCTCCTCCTCCTCTTCCTCCTCCTCCTCTTCCTCCTCCTCCTCTGGTGCGGTCGGCGGCAAAGCACGAGGCTTCGGCCCAGAGCGCGCCAGCGTGCGCCAGCGGCTGGCCATCGATGAGAGAGCGCCGACGTAGCGCCGATTCGGCGTCGACTGGCGTCGCGGCATCGCTCGGGCGTTCTGCACGTCTTCCGCGGCGAGGGCCCTCGAGGAGCATCCTGATCCATCTGGCAAGAATGAGCACGCGCGAAACCGACAAAAATGCACAGGCAATGGCAGTGGACGTCCGAGCGATGGCAGGGCGTCGGGTCGCGCCGATTCGCGAGAGCCACAGCAAGATGACATGGGAGGCTCCCACGAGTTGCCGCCGGAGGAGGGGCTCCGCCCACTGCGCCCCGCCTCCTCGCCCCCAGGTGCTCGTCTTCGCGAGGTCCAAGCAGGCCGCCGAGGAGTGCCCACGGGGAGGGGAGGCGCCGCCGCCGACCTCGGCCGTGCACGGGGCGACGCCAGAGGTCCACCGTCCGCGAGGCCCCCCGGGAGGCAAGCGTCATGTATTTCCTAGTAGGTCCTGGGTGGACTGAAGCGTTCTCGTCTTTTCGGGTCTCCGACGCTCGAAGACGGCCCAAAAAGCTTCCGAGACCGCCCCAACCTGGCCCCGGAGGGCCCCCAGACGGCCCCAGAGGGTCCCACGACGGCCCAAGAGGTCCCCAAGCTGGCCCAGGGAGGGGCCCAGGAGAGGCCAGATCGAGGAGGACCTCGTGCCATCTCCGTCCCCTCCCGCACCCTCGGCAGCCCACCCGAAGAATAACCGGCGGCGCAACACATGCTTTTGAGACTTCCCGCTCGGGTTTCGCCTCCTCCTCCTCCTCCTCCTCTTCCTCCTCCTCCTCCTCCTCCTCCTCAGGCTCCGCGCGCCAGGAAGGGGGCCAGTCACCGATCCAGCGCAGACCTTCGAGAGTCCATGCTTCTTGTTGTATATTGCGAAGGCCTTATTCTTTGTGTTTGTTGGATGTTCTTCTGCATCCTGGGGAGGGTACCCCTGCATGTTCTGTGTGTTTTGGCCGGCGGAGGGTCTCATGTTCTTGAAGGATGTTTTTCTGTCCTAGGTCTGGCTGTACGGCCAGTGCCGCCGACCCTGAAGGGGTACGACGACGACGACGACGACGACGACGACGGCGACGGCGACGACGACGACGACGCTGACGCTCTGGAGCCGAAAGCTTTTCCCAGGGAGAGGTGCTCCCCCCCCCAAGGGTGGGAGATACCGGCCCTTCCCCCCGACCCGCGTCAGGGAGTGGGGTCCGTCGCCGATCTAGCGCCGACCTCTGGAAGTTCATTCTTCTGGTTCATATGCGTCGAGTGGCCTGAGGCCCATCCCGCCACCGTGCCTGCGTTGTGGGGTCAGTGGCCTCTTGGATGCTCATCGGGGCCTCTTGGGAAGCCTCTAGGGTGGGGAGTCTCTTGGAGGCAGTTTTGAAGCCTCATGCGGCCGTTTGGGGGCCTCTTGGGGCTTCCCTCGCGTCTGGTCTTTACTAGGCAGGATTGTGTGCTGCGGTGTTTTCTTGTGGCGGCGCGCACAAGGGGGGGGGGAGGGGGGCGAGGGGGCGATGAGGGGGCGCCGTCACAGGAGGCCGAGGGGCTCCTTGAAAGGAGGGGAGCCTTCTGAGGAGCCCTCCCAGCTTCCAAGAAGCCGCCTTCAAAGCTCCCAGGCCCGTTTAACAATTCCCCCGCCCTCCGCGAGGCCCCCCGAGCTTGCCAAGATGCCGCCCCCCTCGCGCCGCCCATTCGTGTCGCAGGAGGGCCAGTTGAGACGACGGCGGCCCTCCCGCCTGGCCAACACTATGCTCAAGATCTGTCCCTGGACCCACCAAGATGCCAAGGTGTGACACCTTGGCATCTTGGCGGGTCGCCTTCCTCACCCCATTCGCCCTTCTCCCTGCCAGCATTGCTCCTCGTGCTGTAACCCCCCTCCATGCCCCGCCGAGGGCGCAGTTCTACCGGTTCCCCCTCCGCTCGGCTCCAGCGCCGGAATATCTTTGGGCGCGTTACAGTCTATGCCAGCGTTGTGCGTGTACCTCCCTATAGAAGATACCCCCCAACTGACAGCCAAGGTGTCCGTCCTGATCCGTTTGTTCGGGGTGGATCCGGCCGTGGCGACGGCAGAGCTTCCGGGAGGCCCACAACGCGGAGGGCCGCCGTTGTCTCGATCGGCCCTCCCCCGGCTGCGCGCGCCGCCAGTGTTGGCTGCCACGCCTGCTTTCGGGAGGGCATGGCATCCTCCAGGATGTATTTTTTTTTGTTCTCTCTCTCTCTCTCTCCTCCAGGATGTCTTTTTTTTCTCTCTCTCTCTCTCTCTCTCTCTCTTTCTCTCCCTCCTCGGTCCTCACCTTTCGGCTCGGCTGTTAGATGCTCGCGATCTCCGCATTACCACGATGGAAAGGCTACGTCAGGTGGTCTATGTATGCTTGAGTCTTGTCATGCTGTTCGGCATCGTCCCGAACGGCCGCCCGAGGGCCGATTTATGGTCCGAGCGAGGAGGTCCACGATGCTTCCCCGAGCTGGAGGCTAGAGGCGTCTCGGGCGGGGCGGGTGTGGACACCACCAGGGACCCCCCCCGCCTGGCTCCTTGCGTTGGTGGTTGGTCGTGCCGCTGGTGGGAGTCCTCATTTCCACAAGGTCGGTCAGCGTGTTTCGTCGTTACGTAAGACGCATGTTTCACAACCGGCAGAAGCAGCTGGGTCGGCTCGCGCGCAAGCCGCCTGCGTAAGGTGGCGCCCGTGTGCAGCTGCTTCCACGCGGCGTGCCGCTACGGCGGCTCGCGTGAGCCCTCTGGCGACGCCCTCTCGCGCAGGGTCCCTTCTTTTGCGTCGTTCAGGCTTGCGTGACACGGCTTGTGCTGCCTTGGGGGCACCGTGGGACGGAGGGTTGCCGCACCGAGGAGTTGGCCCAGAGCATGAAGGACCGCATGGGCATGCAGGTGGAGGTGATCCATGGCGACAAGGAGCGGGAGGAGGAGGAGGAGGAGGAGGAGGAGGAGGAGCAGAAGGAGGAGGAGGAGCAGCAGGAGGAGGAGGAGGAGGGCGAGCAGGATGAGCAGGGGAAGGGGAAGGAGGTGGTGCATAAGAGAAGGAGGAGGAGGAGGAGGAGGAGGAGGAGGAGGAGGAGAGGAAGAGGAGGAGGAAGAGGAGGAAGAGGAGAGGAGGAGGAGGAGGAGGAGGAGGAGGAGGAGGAGAAGGGGCAGGTCCTGTGCGACATGCTGCGAGATCTCGCAGACCCCAACGCACGGGGAGGAGGGGGGGGGGGGGGAGAAAGAGAGGATAAGATAGCTGAATGCGGAAGGGGCTCGAGGACGAGGGGACGACGACGGCGTCCAGAGGACCAGACAGAGCGGGTGCGGATCATGGATGTCTTCAGGAGGCGGCGCGTGAGCGTCTTGGTCGCCACGGACCTCGCGTCGCGCGGCCTCGACGTGCCCAACATCAGGACTGGACGGGGGAGGTCGCCTACCTCGGGCAGAGGGTGAGGAAAGTGGACGGAGGAAGAAAAAGGGGGACGAGCAGGAGGAGGGAGGAGGGAGGAGGGAGGAGGCAGGAGGCAGGAGGCAGGAGGCAGGAGGCAGGAGGCAGGAGGGAGGAGGGAGGGAGGAGGGAGGAGGGAGGAGGGGAGGAGGAGGAGGAGGAGGAGGAGGAGGAGGAGGAGGAGGAGGAGGGAGGAAAGAGGAGGGAGGAGGGAAGAGGGAGGAGGAGGAGGAGGAGGAGGAGGAGGAGGAGGAGGAGGAGAAAGAGGGGGAGGAGGAGGGGGAGGATGAGGACGGGGAAGAGGAGGAGGAGGAGGAGGAGGAGGAGGAGGAGGAGGAGGAGGGATGAGGTGGTGGTGGTCACTTCATTAGGGAAACACGTCCCGAGCAGAGAAACACGCACCGCGACAACGCCGACGACAATGGAGACGAGACGCGCCAGCGATCCGCCTCGAAGCACGAACTTGAACAGCAAGGGCGCCCTCGAGGGCGCCAAGTTCTTCGCGGTTCCGTTCCGATGTGTTCCTCATCATCCTCTTCTCCCACTGGGAGTGCGGAGCGAGAGCGCGAAGTGCGACGCTATGCTCCCTTGAACTTGGCATCGCTTGGGTGTGTGCATGGTTTCAGCGAGGACGATCGAGGAGCATTTCGGGCCACCCTGCGAGAAAATACGCGCACGAAACCGATAGTTGCACGGGGAATGGACGTCCGAGCGATGGCAAGTGAAAAAGGGCACACGCTGGCAAAGTTTGGTATGAACAGCACAGCTGCGACCTCCCCCTCTGGACGCCCCCCCCCGCCCCCCCCAGAGCAGCAGCCAGACACTTCGGGTTCGCAGCGTCATGCCTCATGCCTTGATCTTGGCATCGCTCGGAAGTGTGCATTTTCCCCGGAGCTTGTTGGGTCGTCTTGCGAAATAATACACGCACGAAGCCGAAACATGCACGGGAAATGAACGTCCGAGCGATGGCGAGTGATATGCGTGGGGGAGTGCGTTTCGGCACCTTCTCCCCCAACCTCGTCAGGGCCACCGACAAAGGAGAGGGCGGCTATGGCCGAGGCGTTCCAAAGCTACGGGCTCTAAGCGTCGCGGCTCAGAGAGCCTGGCAAACAGACGGACGCACGTCTGGACGGACAGCTTGGCGGCGTGCAATGCTTGGCAAGTCAGGCACCGCATGCCGCATGGTTGTGCTTCCTCCGTGCGTGTAATGCTATGCAGTGACCACCCAAGAAGGAGGATGATGACGAGGAGGAGGAGGAGGGCGGATTAGGAGGTGGAGGGATCGGGAGGGAAGAGAATCGTAAAAGGGCGGGAATGAGAGGGAGGGAGAGTGTAGAGAAGAGGGGGAACTGATACGTAGGGATATGCAGGTGGAGGAGGAGGAGGAGGACCATAAGGAGGGATGCTGAAGAGCAGAGAGGAGCAGGAAGATTGGGCTGAGAGATGAGAAGAAGATAGAGGAGGGGAGGATCGATGAGGAGGAGGAGGAGGAGGAGGATAATAACGAGGTGGTCAAGACGAGGAGGAGGATTATGAGAGGGACATCAGTAAACAATCAATTGTTCCATGTTTCTTTTGCCAGGCCCCATTCGAGAAAATTCGACCAATGTCTCAACGTCTGCGCAATTCGCCCCCGACTCGCGTGGAACCCGACATGCGCCAAGCGGCGCTGGCCTTTGGCCAGCGGGGCCAGACAGGTCGCGGGAACGGACAGGCGCGCGAGTGCCCGCCCAGCCTTGTCGGCGACCCCCGAGGGCCCGATCGGGCAGGGCCCGCTGGACCGACCGACGCCCTGAAATCTTTCTACGAAGGTGTTGCGTGATGTCTGCGCTTTCTCAGGGTACAGACTTTTTCTGGTCTCCACGGGGCCCAGGGTGCTCGACCCCTGTCGCGCTTCAGGGGTGCAAGCTTTCTGGGTGGCTTTCCGTGGTCGTCGATCGGGCGCCTGCGCTTTGGCGGCCGTCGCGAACGCTCGGGGCCCATCATTCGGGAGGCGGCGAGAGAAATTTCGATTCCGCCTACGGGCTCGCAGACCACTTCCCCGAGGGGGCCGTCGACGGCGCTGACCGGCCTGCGGGGCCGCTGGCTCCGAGGCTTGACCTCCACCAACGTTGGCCTTGGAGGGCCCCAAGGAGGTGGGCCACGCTATGCAAAACACAAAGCAGTTTATGTTGTATTGTTGTTGTCGTCTGCTCGAGAAGGATGAGGAGGAGGAAGACGGAATCGGACGATAACATGGAGGGAAAGCGAAAGCGGAGGAGGAGGAGGGAAGGGGAGAGGAGGAGTAGTAGTAGGAGGAGGAGGAGGAGGCGGCGGAGGAGGAGTTGGGGGGAAGGAGGCGGCGGAATCGATTACCTTCCTCATACCTCGAGATGGTTTCACCGTTTTTTTGGGGGGTCTCTTTGCCTGGCCGGCACGCGCAGTGGAGCGGGTGCGTTCTGGGGCGTCGAGGGGCCCCTCTCAGCCAGCTCGCTCGGTCTCGCCTGCCTGCCAATGGTGAAGCAGCGCTCGCCACCCTCGCCTCGGTACCTTCGCCTTCGGCAGCTTCAGGAAACTCGCCCACAGGGAGGCCCTTTTCGCCGTCGATCACGGTGATGCGTGGTTCCCCATAGACTCGCTTCTGGAACGGCAATGGCGTCGCATCTGTTGTCCGCGGCGACTTGGCAGTGGTATCGCGATATGGTGGCCCGCGCCGTGGCGCGCGGTGTTGAGCACGGTACCTTGGTGGTGCTCTCGGGGCCGAGGACGAAGAATCTATTCATGCCGATGACGTCGTTGAGCCGGTAGGTTGTAGGTGCCTTGGACGGCTATGCCAACCGCGGACTGTCGTTGGCTTCGCAGCCTGGGCACGCTGGCTCCTGCGCCGCGTCGATGTGAGCCTGTCGGGCCTTGCCGCAGTTCAGTACTGTCACCAAGTTCTCCTTGCTGCAGTGTCCCATGCTCTCGTGTATCTTCTGAACCTGCTGTTTGATCTGGGGGTCGGTGCTCCTCTCTTCCTTGGTGCTATTTGCAGGTGCGGCACAGCAGGGCGTGGTCTCGTAGTTCTTCTCCTTATTGGTGCCGTTGGTGACCTTTCCCTTGATGATGGACTTGATCAGCGCACCCATGAGATCCAGGAGTTTGTCTGGCGTCTCACCCAGCTTCCCTGCTTGTGGTCGTTGATGTACTCCTGGCTCAGCAGCTTCCCGATCTCCAGCGCGTTACCAGGAAGGTTGGACACACCGCGGCGCTTCCGTTGATAGGCGTCCCCAGACTGTATTTCAGGTAATTGTTTCAGCTTTCGAATCAGGTGGTCCTTCCCGTCCCTGGAAGTGCTGTCCTGCTCGTAATACAAGTACCTGCCTTTGATCACCTGCATGATGGCTACGTCCGACATGAACGTCATCATCTCATTGTGGATTCTTTTTCCCTGAGCTTGGGGTTGTAGATCTCCTTGGGCGGCTAGATCACCAGCAGAAGTGGTGGGGTACTCTTCATCTTCTGCCAGACTTCGTCCTGCCCCATCTTGGCTATTAGGTGGTGGCCCAAGATCACCATCGCTTCCCTGCTCACGTGACCTCCAGGCGCTCCATGCTCCTTCGCGTCCTCGAGGTCCTGGTTGAAGTCCCCGTCGATCCTGCTCAAGAAGACCTGGCTCTCTGGAAAGATCTTGTCGACCGTCTCCATGGTGCTGTCTTGGTCGACCAGCTGCTTGATCGCCTTGTTGATCTTGCTGTTCCCCTTCTCGCTGAGGCAGTCTACAGATCGCTGGTGTCCGCTCCGGGGTGGTCCCGCAGGTTCTCGACGAGCTTGTTGGTCGCCTCGTTGGCGGTCTCGTCCTCCAGCAACTCCCTCAAGGCCGTGAGTGTCTTGGTCCTCGGTGATTCTTCCAGCTCCTCCCAGTCTTGTTGCTCTTCTTCGTCGGTCGCCTGGTGCGGATTGGCGTGCTGTATCTCTTCGGTCCTCGAGGTCGTCGCTCGCGCCCCTGTCACGGACGTCCTGTTCCTTGTCGGAATCTCTTCTACCTTCTCGGCCTTCTCGCGCGCGCTGCTCCTCTTGGTTTTCGGCTGCCGTTTTTTGATCGTCGTCTCGAGCTCCTTGAACTCATCCAGCATCTCGCCCACCTCCATCATGCCCTTGGCCTTCCTTGGGTAGTATTCCAGGTGCATCCTGCACGCGCGGCACTGGGCGTAGTAGGCCTTCGCGTTTTCCCTCCGTGGTTGCTGAACTCGCGCAGGCAGCTGACCTCATTCTTCGGGTCGTGGCCCCGCGCCCTCGTCCCAACCGTCGGCATGCGGGGGCCCTGGTTCGCGATCCCGAAGTGGCGGCACGGCATGACCCCCTGTGGGTGGTCGTGGCTCGTCGCTGATCTCGTACCACGGCCACTGGAAGGTCGGCTTGCCCTTCCTGATCGTCTTGGTAGCTGCTGGCTGTTCCGTCGATGCTGCTGATGCGGCTGTCGACGCCGTGGCCTGCACTGGCGTCGAGGCGGCTGGTCCTCGCGATGAGATGGGCGGCGGGCGCCGAGAAGATGAACCCGGGGGCTCGTCGCATGACATGTAGATGTGGATGCAGCTTGGAACAGCTGGCGTTCTGGAACCTCGTCCTGACACCCTGGCTCGAGCCGATCTGGCGATCGTGCTTCTTGCTGCTGCTGCTGCTCGCCTTGTTAGTCGTCTTCTCTCTGTCTGCGTTGCTGGCGTGCTCGTGGTGGCTCCTGCTGAGTTTGATGCTGTCTCTGATCGGCCTGTTTTCCACCACCACCACCATAAGTTGGAGGGGGAGGGGGTCCTCCTCCTCCTCCTCCTCCTCGTCCTCCTCCTCCTCGTCCTCCTCCTCCTTCCCCCTCCAACTTATGGTGGTGGTGGTGGAAAACACGCCCATCAGTCTCTCTTCCGTGTTCGCCTTGCTTTTGAGGTTGCCGTGCTCGTAGTTGCTCTCATTGCGCTTGCTGTTGCCCCCGCTCTGCTGGTCCTTCAGATTGCGTGCTCCTCCTTAGATATTCGAAGTGCTCGTGCTACTAGTGCTGCTAGACTCCTCCTCGTACCGCTTGCATGCCGTAGTCTAGTTTCGTTCTCGTTCGTGTCGCTCGCGGGGCCCAAGACTCCCGAGAACAGGCCGTTTTCAACGTCCAGAGGGGTTTCGGCTATCTCTGAGATTGATCTGGATCGATATTCGCACTTGGAGCGGGCCCCGAAATCCATCGACACCTGCTTCGTGCACATTCACCAGCTGGCAGACTTACTCCACAGTTTCGTGAAGTTATCCAGCTGTAGCAAGAAATGCTCACCGCCGGCGCGTGCCAACGGAAGCTTCAAATTCTGCTTAGGAAGATCCACCTCCGACTGAAACGCGCGAAGTGAAGCCTTGGACTCCACGACGAAAGTCTTCGGTAATGATAGTGGAGCCGTGCCCTTGACCAGGCGCACAAAGATCACTTCGCAGTACTGGCACAGCATGATCGGTATGATGACGCCCTCCGTCGCCGTGCAGACCTGGTCGTTCCCGAACCTGTACTTCTTATGGTATTGATTTTTTTCGAGCGTGATCCCTTGCTTCTCCTTGTAGTGCTTGACCCACCCGTCGAAGGTGCCCAGTCCCATCATGTTGAAGCCGCAGGCCGTATCGACCGTTCCCCAGCCTGGTCGCCCCGACTTTTCGATGTCCACCACGATGCTGATGTGCTCCACGAAATTCGACCTTGACGCCATCGTTGCCTCCGTCGCGATGTAGCTGCACACCTTGTCGTCTTGAAGAACTGTCATCGCCATGAAACCTCACGTCAGCTTCGACTTGTTCCTTGGATTCTCTGGACACTCTCGATGCCAGTGTCCAAGCTTCTTGCAGATCCCGCACCTTGTCATTTTCTTGATGCCATCTATCTTCTCCTCGACCTTCTTGCGATCCTTCAGGTCGTGGAAACCTCGGTCGGTCTTATTGTCGGCTACGATCTTTCGTGCTTCTCCCCAGGTCCTTGGTCTCGAAGGTGATGGTATGATGGCCGCCAGGCACTCGAGCGCCTCCGTCTCGGTCAGGATTTTCCCGTCGTCACCCTACTCGCCATCCTCGTCGTGCCTGTCGTCCTCGATGCCTAGTGGGCTGGCCATCGCGTCGTAGTCCACACCGTCGGCTTCTCCTCCCTCCGAGGCCGTCTGCTCTCCTTCCTCGCCTGCCCCTGTCGGGTAAGCTGTTCTCGCTGTTGTCGGTGCTGTCCTGTCCGTCACCATGTTGTCGTCGGTCATCCTCTTCAACATGGACACCAGCTTGTTGACGTTGTAGTCATAGCGCGTCTGGATCAGCACCTGGTTCCTCTCCGTCTTGGCTAGACTTCCTTCCCGTAGTAGTAGTAGTAGTAGTAGTAGTAGTAGTAGTAGTCGTCGTCGTCGTCGTCGTCGTCGTCGTCGTCGTCGTCGTCGTCGTCGTCGTCGTCGTCGTCGTCGTCGTCGTAGTAGTAGTAGTAGTAGTAGTAGTAGTAGTAGTAGTAGTAGTAGTAGTAGTAGTAGTAGTAGTAGTAGTAGTAGTAGTAGTAGTAGTAGTAGTAGTAGTAGAAAACCACCACCTTCTCGTTCAGCGCGTTCGGCAGTAGCCTGTCAAGCTCTTTCTGCTCGGCCCTTATGCGATTCGTGAACTTCATCAGCGTCTCGTCCCTGGCTCTCGGCGCCGCGAACTCCGTCTTCTCCGGCTGCTGGAAGGTCTCCGCGTCGGCTTCCGGGAACGCGAGAGTGTCCAGAGCCAAGATCACCGCTTGCAAACCTCCAGGATACTGCACACTGCCTGGTCGCAGATGTCTCGTCGCCGTCGCCGCCTCCTTCGTCAGGCTAAGTAGTAGCGTTTCTCATTGTTCTTCTGGTAAGATCGCGGTGAGCCTGCTCCACCTGTCTATCGCCAAACGCTTCTCGGGCCACTCGCTCAAGTCCTTGCCGTCCCATGATGGACATGGCGGGTCCTTGCCCCTTTCTGCCTCCTCTCCGTTCCGATAGATCTAGGTCGTCTTGAACTCGAGCGTGTACCCTTGTGACATTATTATTGACCTGCTCTGGTGTGCCAAACCCTCTCGTCATCGACCTGTCCGATGACCCGTCGGAAGTCCAGCCCCGCCTGTCGACCATGTTGCACTTCTCCTCGGAGTTGCCCCAGTCGTCATAGTCCTCGCTTGGCCACCAAGCATCCCAATTGAACTGATTCCTGCATGGTCGTGAGGTGGTGCCCTGCTGAGCTCCTCTGTCGTGTGGTCGTGCTGCTCCTCGTTGTGGTGGTGACCGTGTCCACCGTGCCCAGGGATCCCACGGGTCGTCCGCTGCACTGTGCTGCTGCCCGCCCGTCATGTTGTTGTCGCCCTCGTCGTCAGCTATCTCCCACAAGGTAGCTCCGTCGTGACTGTCGTAACCGTCGCTCCGCTTACCACGTGTGATCTGACTCCCGAACTGAGAAGGCTTCGATGGCATCAGAGATGGATCGATTCTGAGAGTGCGGGCAGCTTCGTCGCTTCGTCAGCACATCGAGCTGCACTCCTGCAATGGCGGCCGCAGGCCCCCTTTGCCTGAACCAAGAAGGATACAGGAAAAGGGTCCAGGGTTCTGGGCTAAGCTCCTCCTCCTCCTCCTCCTCCTCCTCCTCCTCCTCCTCCTCCTCCTCCTCCTCCCCCTCCTCCTCCTCTCACTCACAATTCCTCCTCCTCAATTCTCTCTCTCTCTCTCTCTCTCCTCCTCATCCGCCCCCTCCTCCTCCTCCTCCTCCTCCTCCTCCTCCTCCTCCTCCTCCTCCTCCTTCTCTTCCTCCTACTCCTCCTACTCCTCCGCCTCCTCCTCCAGCTTCGAGGGTCCTTGAGATGCCTCCTATATTCACAGTCAGACAACAGCGCCGAAATCGTCACGGCACGGACCCGCCGTATGGGGGTTAGCGCTTGACTCGAACCCATGTCCACCCTTGACCACCAGAAAAAAAGAGCACCACGAAAGCACCGAAATTGGATGGTTTTCGCGTGTCGGGCCCTGGGAGGCGAAACTCGCTCGACGCTTCGCCAGCGTGCCGGGCAGACACTGTTCCGGTGCTTGTTCTGGATGTTCGAACTTACTGCTGGGATGTGATCCTTCGGCCATGATGGGAGCCGCGTGAGTCCACGGAAAGCCCTCCTCCCCAGAACTCCGGCCTTGCGCGTCGTGGCTCCGCCCCCCACTCGCCGGCCTGCCCGCCGAGGGGTTGCGCGAGGCTGCGGCCCACCGTTCATCGCGGGCCTAGAGATTGACACCAACACCAATGTCGGCGGTGTGCCTCCACCGAGGGATGAAGATCCCGACCTCGGTGATGGTGGTAATAGTCTGGCTTCCAAGGTGGCCGAAATATTACCACCAACACCGAAATCTAGGATCATCCTCCCCCCTGTGGAGGTAACCCCCCTGTGTTGGTGTTGGTGCCCATTTCCAGGCCTCCAATTTAGGTTCATGCGTCCTTGCGCGGCCCGCTCTGACTGGACTCGCCGCTGGCGCTCTCGCCCGCGGCCGCTTCACAAAAAGGCTTGGTCCCGCAGCGTGGGCCCCCAGAGATCTGGACCTCCTCTTCGCCGGGGGCCGGCTCCTCGGTCCCGAGCCTTCTTGTTGCGACCGTCTCTCCACGGGGCCGCGGGCAGAGGGCCCCCAGAGATCTGGACCTCCTCTTCGCCGGGGGCCGGCTCCTCGGCCCCGAGCCTCCTTCTTGTTGTTGCGACCGTCTCTCCACGGGGGCCGCGGGCAAAGGGCCCCCCTCTCCGGGGGGCCCGGCAGCCGTCCAGAGAAGGCCGCCGTGGTGTTTCCGCGGCGCGCCGGCCCGGAGAGCCGACGCTCCCCGAACAAGATTGGAGCGGGCGGCTGCTGGCCGCTGTCGGCCTCCAGGGGCCCTCGCCGGGCCTCGGGGGCGTCACGAAAGTCAGCTCGGCGAAGAACCAGCCCCCGAGGGAAGCGATCCAGACCTCGGGTGCCCACGCATCAGCAAAAAAAAGTGGAGCAGCAGGACGTCTGGGGATGTCAGGGCCCCCGGCCCCGGGGCCGCAGGACCGCGAGAAGCTCTTTCCGCCTTGGCGTTCTCGCGGCTCGAGGATGTCAGTGGTGACCCCCCTTGCCCCCCTCCTCGGGGCGGGATTGGGGCAAGGATCAGGGGCAAGGATATGGGAGGATAGGCATAGGGGGGGATGTACCGACCCCAATCGCCCATTGATCGCCGGTAGGGGCCCGATAACCCTAACCTACCCAGGGTCGTCCGCATTCACTATTATCAGGGGCCCATCGCCGATCTATCGGCGATGTATCGTCGATTCCAGGTCGATGTGCCCCTCCCCCCTGATGCCAGTCCCCCCCTATCGTTGCCCCTCACTCCCTGATGATGACGATGATGATGAGGAGGAGGAGGCGGAGGAGGAGGCGTTGGAGGAGGATCCCCCCCCCCCCTGCACGGAGCGGGGCGGGGACGAGGACGGTGGTGTCCTACGACGCGGCCCGCGACCTCCAGACCCACACGCACCGCATAGGGCGCACGGGCCGCGCAGGCGTGCAGGGCGAGGCGCACACGCTGGTCCGTCGCTCGGGGGCCGCCGCCGCCGCGGCTCAGAGGAGGAAGAGGTATACCCCCTAGGCGATGCTCAAGAAAACGTAAGGTTTCGGCCAGAGTCTTGATTATTCTTATTGTTTCAATGGAAAACCAAACTTTTTAGTAGAAATTGGGGGTTTGTGTTCAAATTCTGAGACTATGAATTTCTTAACCCATGATTTCTTAAGCATTTCGCAGAGTGTACCCCACGCCGCTGCCGCGGACCCGCGGGGCAGGCCGCCACCGCACCCAGGCCAGCGGCAGGGCCGCCGCCGCCGCGGCCGTCATTGAGGCCGCCGCGGTCGTCGAGGTCGTCGTCGTCGCCGTCGTCGTCGTCGTCGTCGTCGTCGTCGTCGTCGTCGTCGCCGCCGTACATCGGGGAAGGAGAAGGTACCCATACTGCTGCCCTCTGCCCGTTTTCCCCTCTGTCGGCCTCCTGGGAGGCCCTCGTCGCCACCGCTGGACTCGCTTCGAAGTTCTGGTCAGAACGCGCCCCAAGAGAGGTCCGGGGAGTAGTGGTATCGGTGCCTTTTGGTCAGTGGCAGCCGCCGCAGCTGCGCCGCCGCCGCGCATTTCCTGCAGTTTTCGGGCTTCGGGGGGGAGGTGGTTTCAGGTGCCTTTGCGCGTGTTCGCTGCACTGTCGGGTCTCGGGGGGAGGTGGTTGCAGGAGCCCTCGCGCGTGTTCGCTGGCGCTGGGGTTTCCCATAGTTTCCAGCCGCTGCGCCTCGCCGAGAGCGCTCCGGGGGTGCCGGGATCGCTCCGAGCGGCCGCCAGAGCCCCGAGTCGTGGCCAGACAGCCACCAGGCCTGAGCTCGGTCTGGTAAGGCTTCGGGCTGCGCCTAAAAAGCCCCCTCAGGGAGGTGGCCCAGCTGGCCTCTTTAGACCCCCCGAGTAGTCCCAGCTGGCATCAGCGGGCCCCCCGAGTAGTCCAGGGCGGCCTCAGCTCGGTCGCGCCAGAGCGTGGCCCGACTGAGACCCTGTCGGGCGCGGTCCGGGAGGGCGTGAGTTGCCCGTTTTGCTTGCAGGAAGTTGCCAGTCGGAGCGCCAGTCGTCGTCGTCGTCGTCGTCGTCATCGTCGTCGTCGTCGTCGTCGTCGTCGTCGTCGTCGTCGTCGTCGTCGTCGACGGGGAGGGGCAGAGCGAGAATGGCGTGTCGGAGGGGTGGCGGGCGCCAGCGACGCCCTCCTCCTCCTCCTCCTCCTCCTCCTCCCTCCTCCACCTCCTCCTCCTCTCCTCCTCCTCATCCTCCTCCTCCTCCTCCCTCCTCCTCCTCTCCCTCCTCCTCCTGGTCCTCCTCCTCCTCCTCCTCCTCCTCCTCCTCCTCCTCCTCCTCCTCCTCCTCCTCCTGGTCCTCCTGCTCCAGGTCCTCCCCTCCTTCATCCGTCTCCCCAGGGAGGGAGGGGCAGAGGACGGGGGGGGGCGTCAGGGCAGGCGATTGGCAGCGAGTGGGCACTGATGGGAGGTAGAGGGGGCGGGGAGGGGGGATACTGGGGCGCCAGACTGGAAGGGTATAGGGCGCTTTCGGCCCTCCTCGGTGCTCGGCGCCCCTCCCTCCCTCTTCCTTCTCCCCCTCCTCCTCCTTCGTTCCCTCCCTCCTCCGCCTCCTCCTCCTTCGCCTCCTCCTCCTCCTCCTTCTAGAGGAATGCCAGAACTTTAGGAACGCCCCCAAAGCAAAGAAATCAATTACGCTACCGAGGAACCCCACATACTTATAGTATGGCTGGTGTGATGATAGCTGAAGTGAAGCATGTGAGAATGATGTTGGTGGCCGTTGCCCCGACGATACCGCAAGGACGACCATCACGGATAGCGGCCGCGCTCAGGGATTACCCCGTGCGCACCCTTTGTGGTGTCGAGAAAACGCCTCGCCTGCCGTGTCCTGGACGACCGTTGCGGATAGCGGCCGCGCTCAGGGACCACCCCGTGCGCACCCCTTGTGGTGTCGAGAAAACGCCACGCCTGCCGTGCCCTGGACGACCGTTACGGATAGCGGCCGCGCTCCACGACCACCCTGTGCACACCCCCTGTCGTGTCGAGAAATCGCCACGCCTGTTGTGCCCTGGACGACCGTCACGGATAGCGGCCGCGCTCAGGGACCACCCCGTGCGCACCCCTTGTGGTGTCGAGAAAACGCCACGCCTGCTGTGCCCTGGACGACTGTCACGGATAGCGGCCGCGATCAGGGACTTCCCCGTGCGCATCCCCGGCGGTGTCGGGAATATGCCACGCTTGCTGGGGCAAGGACGACCGTCACAGATAGCGGCCGCGCTCAGGGACCAACCCGTGTTCACCCCCTGTGGTGTCGTGAAAACGCCACGCCTGCCGTGCCCGGGACGACCGTCGCGGATAGCGGCCACCTTGTGCGCACCCCCTGTGGTGTCGAGAAAACGCCACGCCTGCTATGCCGTGGACGACCGTCACGGATAGCGGCCGCGCTCAGGGACACCATTCCGTGCGCACCCCTGGTGGGGTCGAGAAAACGACACGCTTGCTAGGGCAAGGACGACCGTCACGGATAGCGGCCGCGCTCAGGGACCACCCCGTGCGCACCCCTTGTGGTGTCGAGAAAACGCCTCGCCGGCCGTGCCCTGGACGACCGTCACGGATAGCGGCCGCGCTCAAGGACCACCCCGTGCGCACCCCCGGTGGTGTCGAGAAACCGCCACGCCTGCTATGCCCTGGACGACCGTCACGGATAGAAGCCGCCCTCAGGGACCACCCCGTGCGCCCCCCCTAACGGTGTCGACAAAGCTCCACGCCTGCTGTGCCTTGGACGACCGTCGTGCTGTGCTGAGCTGAGCTGTGCTGTGCTGTGCTGAGGTGCTGTGCTGTGCTGAGCTGTGCTGTGCTGAGCTGAGCTGAGCTGTGCAGGGCGGCGTGTGCTTCATGTGTGTGCCCAGTACGTACGCGTACGTCGTGTATGTGTGTGTGTTGTGTCTATGTCCGTGTCTGTGTCTGTGTCTGTGTGTGTTTGCGTGTGCGTGAGGAGAGGGAGAAGGAGATGGAGGCGGGTGAGGAAGACGCGGGTGCGACGCGGCAGAGAAGAAAACCATAACCCCGCGAAACATGTGGGGAACAACTTAGGGGAACCTGTGGAAACAAAATAACACACACACAACAAAACATCAAACACACATGTTAAGGACAACGTCCGAAGGGAAACGCCCGTGGGGATCTGTGGCTCTTTCGGCTCTCCTCGGTACTTGGCGCTGGTCCCTTCCTCTTCCTCCTCCTCCGTCTCCCTTCCCTCCTTATCCTCGTGTTCCTTCTCCTCCTCCTCCTCCTCCTCCTCCTTCGTTTCCTCCCTCCTCCTCTTCCTCCTAGAGGTCTGCCATAACGTTGATATCACCTTTGGACAAACAAAACCACAAACACCGAACACACAGAAACTGAACAGGCTGGAGGCTGACACTTTACAAAACAGTGGAGAAGCCAAACAATCAACAGCGATCCCACGGAAAACCGTCCGAAGGGAAACGTCAGAGGGGGGCACATTCTCAGTGGAATAGTCTTTTCGGTTTTGTAGTTCCCCTGATTGTCTTAGAGTGTCAGCCTCCAGCACTCCAACGTTCTGGCATTCTTGAAGCAAGAGGCTGCGGAAGAAGACGGCCGAGGAGGGAGGAAACGGAAGAAGAGCAGGAGGAGGAGGAGGAGGAGACGGAGGACGATAAGGACGAGAAAGAGAGGGGCCCCGAGCACCAAGGAGGGCCGAGAGCGCCACAGAGAATGTACCCCGCCCTCGGACGTTTCCTTTCGGACGGGTTTCCCTGGGATCGTCGGTCTTTGTGTTGTTTTGGTAGACAGTCCTAAAGCTTCAGCCTCCAATACTTCAGTGTCTTTGGTTTTGTTGGTTGTTTCTTGTTTGTTTTGGTTTCCCACCGCCAATTATAGGAATGTATCGAATGGCCTTCGGTCCATCCGCCACCGTGCCTGGGTTGTGGGTATGGGGCATATTGGACATTCGATGGGATCTCGTGGGAGGCCTCTCGGGGGAGGGGGGCTCTTGGAGGCAGTTTCGAGGCCTCGTGGGGGCCGTTTCAGAAACTCTTGGGGGCCTCTTGGGGGCCTCTTGGAGGACTCTTGGGGCCTCTTGGGCGCCTCTTGAGGCCTCCTGGGGACCACTTGGGGCGAAAGGTTCCGATCTTAGGATCGGGCTCCCTCGTTTGGGCCCCTTTTGGAGCCGTCTTGGGCCCATTTTGGGCCGTCTTCAGCGCGTCTTGGGCCTTCTTGGGGCGCTCTTGGAGGCCTCTTGAAGCCCTCTTGGAGGCCTCTTGGCGGCCTCTTGGGGTGGTCTTGGGGGCCTCTTGGGCCGTCTAGGAGCGTCGGAAAGCAGAAAGGCGAGATCGCACACATTCTTCGAACACCTAAGGACAATCAATGATTTGTGCCTCGTGGAGGGGGCCTCTTGGAGGCCTCTTGGGGCGTATTGGAGGCCGCGTGGGTATTCTTAAGGCCATCTTGATCGTTTTGGAGCGGTTTTTCGACCCTTGCGGCCTCTTAGGGAGCCTCTTGGGGCCCTCTTGGTCCGTCTTCGGGCCCCCTCGGCTTCGAACACGTGGCTCCGAACAAGTCACGCGAGAAGCGGCGGGGTGCGGAGCCACGCCCCAAGAGATTAGGCAATTTGGGATCCAGGGTCCCTTGAATAATCCTCAGTGCAGCAGTGAGGAGTGAGGCTCAGAGGAATCGGCCAAGGACCTGAGGACCTGCCCACTCCGTGCTCAGGGGCACGGCGGCGGAGTTGTTCTTCGCCCGCAAAGCGGCATCGGTCCTCCCCCCCACAGAAGAATGCGGAGATGGAGGAGGAGGAGGAGGAGGAGGAGGAGGAGGAGGAAGAGGAAGAGGGAAGAAGAGGAGGGAGGAGGAGTGGGAGGAGGAGGAGGAGGAAGAGGAGGAGGAGTGGATTATGAGGCAGAGGAGAAGGAGTAGGAGGAGGGGGAGGATCAGGAGGAGGAGGAGGAGGAGGAGGAGGAAGGGAAGAGGAGAAGAGGGAGAGAAGTACGAAGTGAAACGGAGTTGGAAAGAGAGTTGTTATTTGAAACCCTTGAACGTCGAAAGCGCCCCATCCTTATCCAGTCTGGAGGCCGGGGCGTGGATTGCTTCTGGGACTGAGGCGGAGCTTCATTTTGGATCTGACGATTTATAGCTGAGGCGCTTCGCGCTTCCATTGTCTTGAACGTTCCTCCTACTAAAATCGCGCTGGTAATCAAACGTGCAAAAACGCTCCTACAATTATCCTTCCTTGCTCCTGTTTCTCGCATCACGGTCGGATGTCTCCAGAGGCCTCTGTGGTGGCTGGCCTTATTTTGCCTGTCGTGCCCGTCTCAGCGTAGTTGGAACGTCCGAGCGGACCTCCACATCGCTCCCCCCCTCGAGGTTGCTCCGGGTCGCTTGCTGCCGCGCCAGCTTCCGATGTCGCGTGCGCGTCTGCTCCGTGCGGCCAGCCCGCCTCGGGCATCCGCCTTCGCATCCGCCACGCGACCTCTGCCAGGCCCTGCAGCTGCCGCCCCGGACGTGCGCTTCCTTAGTGCTGCTCACCGCGCGGCCCCTGGAAGTCTCGACCCGGTCCCCAGGGCCGCAGGTGACGTCGTAGGTGATATCCTCGACGATCCCAGGGCATTCGATGTTTGAGTCTACCAGGGAGAACCCCACTCAAACTCGACCTGGGGACATTCCCGGGTCGCTGGCGTGATCGAGACCAGGTGTCGGGGGCGGAAAAGAGGGGGGTGATGACTAGGGGGGGGTGGATTTCATGGCGCGGGCCATGAGTTTTCCCCAGATCTCATGGCGCCTCTTCTTGTTTCATTGCGTCCCTGGCCCCCCCGCTGGGCCGCGCACATGCCGCCGGCCATGATTTGCACCCCCCCCTCTTGGACACCCCCCTCTTGGCCGCTCCCGACCAGGTGGAGCAGCTTCTCGTCCCGGGTCGTGATGCGACGGTGCCGAGGCCCGCGGGGTGCCCCCCCCGAGGCCGAGGGCTGCGAGGAGCGTGCGTCCCGCTGTTGCTCCGGGCGCTGCGCGTCTGCCGGCTTCCTCGGAGGACGAGGACGGGGAGAGGGGGAGGGAGAGGGGGGAGGAGGAGGAGGAGGAGGAGGACGAGGAGGAGGACGAGGAGGAGGAGGAGGAGGAGGAGGGGGAGGAGGAGGAGGAGGACGAGGAGGGAGACGAGGAGGAGGACGAGGAGGAGGACGAGGAGGAGGAGGGGGAGGAGGAGGAGGAGCAGGAAGAGGAGGAGGAGGAGGAGGAGGAGGAGGAGGAGGAGGTCCTGCTCCATTGCCAGTGGCGGGCGGTCTTTCAATCCCAGGATTTGTTCGAGGGTCGGGGGCGACGTCGGGGTGGTGTAGTGTATGCTTTCTTCCCCGTTTCCCCGGGGGAGACAGCGAAGAATGTATGCGCCAGGATCCCGTGTACACCAGGATCCGCTTTCCTGTGCGAGATTCAGTGCGAGGCCAGACAAAGGCGCCGCGGCCGCGCGGAGAGTTCCGCACTGCGGCGTGGCGTGGCGTCTCCTGATTACTCGTAAGTCGGGCGTGTCCCTCTACAGGGGGAATTGTCAAGAATAGCTAAAAATAATCAGGGGACGATTTTTTGAGTATTTCTGCCCATTGGGGGGTTATTTTGGGAGTATTCGTTATTATTCGCTCAAAATCCCCATGTAGGGGGACACGCCCGACTTAAGATTACTCCAGGTTTCTTAATACGCGTGGGGGGGCACCCAGGTACCCCCCGACGGGGGTCAACCTCGCCTCGTCGTCGCGCCGCGACGGGGGTCGGAGCGCCTTCGGCGCGCGGTTGCTGCCCGCGACGGGGGTCGATGCGGGGCTGTCGGCAGGGGTGACGCCCCCCCGACGCTTATTAAGATTCTCGGAGTACCCTGCATCTCCAGGAGGACCTTCTCTCCCTGTCCTGTAAGCGGCAGTCTTCTCTTGTACTCCGACGCGGGCTCGACGCGGATTCGGCACGGATTCGACGCGTCCGACATGGATCCGGCATGGATGCGACACGGATGGCTGGCGCGATGGGACTGACGAAGCCCCCAGAGATGCAACGTAAGTGTGGCCTGGCTTCCGAGGTCTGCAGCGACAAGGGCGGCAGGAGGACCGCGGCGATGCTGGTGGAGAGCATGGAGCAGACCGGCCAGCGAGTCCCCGCAGGAGCCCCGCGACCGCCGTCGTTGAAGTCGTCGTCACCGTAGTCGTTGTCGTCTTCGCCATCGTCGCTGTAGTCTGAATCTCCCCCCGCTCTCCTCGATGAGCCTTTGGCTCCTCCTCCTCCTCCTCCTCCTCCTCCTCCTCCTCCTCCTCCTCCTCCCTCCTCCATCCCTCTTCTTCCTCCTCCTCCTCCTCCTCCTCCTCCTCCCTCCTCCCTCCTCTGCGCGCTCGCCCTCCCCCCTCCCCCCCGCAGACCTCGTGGCGCTGGCCATGAAGTTCCCGCCCTTCCTCGCGGCGCGCGCGCGCCTGGGGCTCGCCGCCCCCGGCGGCGGCGCGGACGCCGCCGAGGTCCCGTCCCGCCCAGGGGCGACGTTGGGGAGGGATACGGTCGGGCCGAGGTACAAGATCGAGGTCGATTCGGGGAGGTTACCGTGGTGTTCGTCGTGTTTGTTGGATGGTCTTGTGCATCCTGGGGGAGGGCACCCCCGAATATTCCTCAGTCTGGGCCAGCGGAGGGTCCCATGTTCTTGAAGGGTGTTCTTCTGTCCCGCCTCGGCTGCACCTCATGGCGAGGTATCGCCGATTCCAGTTCGATGTTTCCCTCGATGGCGAGCACGAGGGGGAAGTGGGAAGGGGCGGGCCCTCTCAAAAGGCTCGGAAGTCCCCCGGCCTTCTGAGAAATGTTGTAAGCCTTCCCCGAAGACACAGAAAACTTCTCAGAAGGCGCGATGGTCTTCTCATTCTCACTTCCCCCCCTCGCTCGCCGCCGAGGACGCCCAGGATCGGTGCACCTGGTCTCCTGGCCATGTCAGGAGGGCGCATTCACGCGCCGATCCTGGCTGGGCCTGGAGGACGGGCTCGGCCGAGACCGGTGTGGCGGACCATTCCCAGACGTGCGACGTCCCCGGAAGTCTCGACCGATTTCCAAGGGACCGGCTCTTCTTGCCGAGTGGTTTTCTGACAGTCCTGGGGCTCGGTCAGGACCCCAGAGGTCGAAAACCAGGGAAGACCTCCGTCCTGCCTTTTTCAAGACAGCGCATGTCTGGGCATCGGTGAGGTGGACCGTTGGCGTCCACCGATGGAAGGTGTAAAGGCACCACTTCGGGTACGCCATGGCCAGAAGGTCCAGGCGCGGACGCGTGCGAGGTGGCACGATCCCTCGCGACCGACCTCCCGAGAACCGAGACCGGTGGCATCCAACACTCCATCAGGAGCTCGCGATTCGAAAAGCCACGAGCAGTGGAGCCATCGCCCCTCCTCCTCCTCCTCCTGCTGCTGCTGCTGCTGCTGCTGTTCCTCTTCTTCCTCCTCCTCCTCCCCAGACATCCGACTGCTCCAATGTTTGTTGATGCGTGCGCCCCTGGGGTCTGGACCACGTCACTTGAGCGAGACGGTACGTGTCGCGCTGAGCTAGGACGATCATAAATCCGTTCTAGAGCGCTCCAGAACGCTCTCAAAGCGTTGTGGAACGCTCTAAGAGGGCCGCGGCGCCCGAGACGTCCTGCAGATCCGCCAGATCTCAAACAGAATGATTTGTCCTCACTCGATGTTATCCTCGTCGTGGCGGCGTCTTACGGGAGGGCACGTGCACCCAGGGCCTGCTGGGCCAGGGCCGGCCTGGGGTGATCGGCCAGCGGCCCCCCCCCAACCCCCAAGCTTCTCGGCGGGGTGCTGGTACCGATCCCGACTGCACATGCGCACCCGAGGGGGAGCCTTGCGCGGAGGGCTTCGGGGTCCGACCCAGACGTGGCCGTGTCGTACACATCAATCGGGACAAGCGGTTTTTCGCTATCTTCCCGGGATGAAGAGCCAGTCCCGGGGAAAGGGTCGGGACTTCTGTGGGCGCCGTATTAAACAAAATCAGGACATCGCATGTCTGGGGAGTGTTGGGCGTCTTCTTAGTGCGGTCGTCGTCGCCGTTGCCACGGCCGTCGAGGTCGCCGGTGGCCATGGCCGTCGTCGCCGTCTTCACTGTCGTAGTGGTTGTGGTGCACCGTCGTCGTGGTTGTGGTGGTGGTCGCCGTCGTCTTCGTGGCCGTCGTGGTGGTCGTGGTCGTGAGCGTTCTGGTCGGCGTCGTGGCCGTCGTCGTCGCCGCCGCCGTTTGTCGCCGGCTCGAGCCGCGCGCAGCCGCAGCGCGCGCGCGGCTCCGCGGCGCCATGGCCGCGCTGCCCGCCAGGCTGCGCTCGCCCCGCGTGGCGCGGGCCTTCCGCGACTTCTGCCGCGCCTCGCGCGAGACGTTCGCCCAGGACCGCCTCCCGACGACCACGACCACGACGACGACGACGACGACGACGACGACGACGACGACGACGACGACGACGGCAGCGGCCGCAGCGACAGTGCAGCCGACGACGACGACGGCGACGACCACCACGGCCTCTGTGACAGCGGCCACGACGGCATCGTGCACGGCGGCGACGACGACCACCACTGAGTAATTACGATCACGGCTGCGACTACAGATTTTGACGGCGTCGGCCACGATATCGGTGCCGACGACGAAGCTATCGACGATCACCACCACCACGACGGACATTCACGACGACTACGACAACGACCTCGACGACGACATCGACTTCGACGACGACGACGACGGCGACCGCCACGACGTTCGCCGAGGACCGCCTGACGCAGCGGCAGTTGCGGCTGCAGACGGCCCAGCAGCTCAGGCATCGGCGCGCGCCGATGCGCCAGCACCGGGCAGGGGTCGGGCTGGTGCCAGGCCCAGGATCAGTGCACCCGTCGGTCCAGGTTGGCAGCGCACGCAAGGGGATGGCGCTGAGGTGCATTGGCCCAGTGGTGACGGGGATGGAGATACGTTGGGTTCGCGCCGTGTGGACGCAGCGGTGACCCCGGCGCGTGCCTTCAAGGTTGAGCGCCGCCAGTGATCCAGAATCGGCCGATAGCGGGCGATCTACACTGCCAGAAGTCGTCACGACTCGACGCTGCCGTAGCGATGTTGATGCACGACGAGCCCTGGTGGCGCTGACCCTGCTACTCAGGGGCGACGTTAGGACGGGGGATGCTCAGGGAGGAACGCATCGACCCCCAATCGCCCACTTATCGCTGATAGGGTCCTGACAGCCCACGTCGCCCAGGTACGTGCGGTTTCGCTATCTGGGGCCTACCGCCGATCTGTCCACGATGTATCGCCGATTCGAGCTCGATGTTTCCCCCGGCAGGGGCCCTCTCATCGGAGAAACGGAAGGCTCGACTCTGCCGGTGCTCGGGTTTGCTGCATAA